ATATATATATATATATAACAAAAGTGCCCAGCCCACTCAGACTATCAGTGCAGAAATACCCGATTAGTGATATTATTAGGATGCTCCTACACGCCGAACGCAGCCATGTCAGGCTCTGTACATATATAGCCACTATCTCCCTGCAATGCATTTTTACTGCACATTTGCACAAATCTGCGATGAGCAAAACTACGGAGTGAGACAACTAATAAGTCCGCTACAATTCGTTGAATCCTTCCGATTGCTCACTGCTAATGACACACATCGTGAGAATATATGTCAATACTGGTAAACAATCTAGGAAGACAGCGTCTGTCTTGTTGGTGGAGATGATTGCTGTTAGCAATGTATCACCGCTCGTACTACTTCTAAATGCCTTCATTCAGTGAGAGTGGTATGCATGAGGGTCTAACTTTAACAGGATTTCATAAATCATTTCAAACATATGAGAAATGCTTGCTAATACCTTTTTCGAAATAATATGTTTTTTTTGGTGTGGGCAATGAAAAAACGCATAAAAATTGTTTGAATCCCTCTTTTCATCATTCGCTTTTTCGTTAGCATTTTCAAATTGCGCCTCTGCTCTTTCTCCAAAAAAAAAAAGTCTTGACTATAACACTGAATATGGTTTTTGGAAGCACAGCTGCTTTTTATAGTCTCTTTTTCAGCACATGCAACTCTATATCGGTCGGTTGATTGAAAATGCGTTCAAAATATTTTACCTCTGAGGATGCTTTGCATGCACAGCATGCAAACTTTCCGAGCTATCAGCATAAAGCTGAACGTTGTCGAGATGCAGACAAGTGCTAACCGCGGCTAACATTCGTCACGCCTCCGAATTTATCCACCGTATTTGTTGCACACAAGCAGTGTCTGGAAAAGAATTATTCGAGTCACCGCTTCCCTTGTTTCAGATTGTCCTGTATTAATAACACGTAACGTCCATCAACTGAGATCAGTTTTGTTTCATTAGCATCGCAATATCCCATTTCCCGCTCTTTTTTTCAAAGCATTTCTTGCTCTTAAAGGTTACACAAAGTCTAGTTATGTTTTTTTTTTCGCTTCTACCAGTGACCAAGTCACGCATTGGTAGTGATTGTCAAGTACCTTCAACAAATTATAGCAGAAAATACATGATATACATGAGCGTCACAATGCATCTCTGGATGAATCATGCAAAAACGCATTAAAATGATAATTCAATTGATTTAGCTTTGCCAATCAATTACATTTGGAGCACGCTTCCAGTTCTCTTACCAAGTGAGGATTTTTGACAGCTCAGTTAAGCACTCACTAGTCCCGAAAATGAAACACTCCCTCTGCAGCTACTGCTACTACTTCAAAGGAAAATTTTCCAAGCTATTCACATATAGCACTTTCCTTTCGTTATGTCCAGCCGCAATTTTGTTTCTGATACTCTGATTATGTTTGTAACTGGTTCTGGTGTTTTAGCATCACCGCTTTTTTTCTCTGAAAACACAGACTGTCTAATTCTAGCTTATTTCTGATTGCTTTGATTTTGATACTGATATTCTGGTTCCGACAAAATTTTTATCCAATTTTTTTTTCTATATACTCAAAATCTTGAGCGTCTGGCTCTGCCCTCTATTCTCTTCGATATATAAGCATAATATGCACATTGCTGGTGCACGCATGCTTTTCTTTGCGCATCCATTAACTCATTGTACTTTACCTAAGCCCACCACTGTATGCCTGATCTGTACGCGAATAAAAGGTTCACGAACATAATCTTCGCATTCATCGATTTCAATTAGTTTTAGTATGACATGTAATAAGGATATTGTTTCCAGGGGTAATTCACAATGATCAGTCGAAAAATGATACACATACCGATTCCGCTGCTAATCATACTCACCACAAACTGTTTTGCATGGTCAAGTGCTGTGAGTTTTTCGTATTCCTTTGTGTTAATGCAGATTTATTCGAGCATTCACATACTTACATACACACATACATACATACATGCATACATGTATGTAGCTTAAATATATATATGTGTATATATATATGCGTTTAAGCACACTGTAATGAATTTTTATTGCACGGTATGCAAAAGCGCACAAAAATATTTTATTAAATGAAAGAAGTTGCCTTCAGGATGCGCACTCGGAAAGTGCAATACCCGGTGAATTGTTAGACAGAGTTTATCGAACTGTGCTCCTGAAATCAAAACGCAGCCGTAAGTTTCCGTTTCTTGTGTCAGTTTGATTGCTTGAACATTTGAAATGGCGAAACTGAAAAGGAGAAGAACGATATTATTGGCTGTGTGTAATCTTATGTTGCCATCGTCGGAAAGTGCTTGGCACTGAAGGCACCGAGGAGTAGTGCACTTTCTGCTTTTCTTGGTCAGAATATGCAAATTTTCAAAAAAATGCGGTAGCTCAAAATTCAGAGCCTGACGCACTGAAATTTGGGAAACAAACGAGTGCAAATACATTGGTCAATCAGTTGGTTAAAAAACCTGCATGAACTAATTGAGTGGCAACTTGCTTACGAACGCATTTTAGCAGCATTCCAAATGCATATACATTTTGCCCTGCATATTGTATTTCGTTCCTTTCGTGTTTAAATTTCATAAAAAACGAATTTTTGAGCTATTCGAGTGAATTTGGGAGATTTTTTTGGTGGTTTCGTGGAGCAGAGAATTTGTGGACTAATTCTTGGGAGTGAATCCCGGCAGTTACACCATCACTGTTGCTTCTGTTGTCGCTCTGCGTTTAACTGCACACCGACAAAAGGTGTGTAGTCAACTAATTTTATGTTTTTCAGCGAGTATGGGTTTATCGTTAGCTGAATATATGGCAAGTCGTCAAGGGCAAGATAATTTTCATTTTATACCAGCTGGTCGAAGATGATCTCAGCAATCCGTTCTTGTTGCATCTCAGCGCATCACAATTTCTACAGTGGAGCATGCTAATTTAGATGTTATGCGACGCTTGTATTGAACAACGGATGGGCTCTTAAGTACTTTCCTAAGCGCGTGTATTTTCCGTGATTTACGCTGAAATCGTTGATCAAGAGTACACCTTTGTTTTTTCTTTTTTAAATTTTCTTAAGAAAGTACTGCAGAGATTCATCGTTGATTTTCAAAAAAATGCACTTGTATAGATAATTGGTGGCTATTGTCGTTATTTTTTCATTCCAGAATTTCTTCCTCGAAAGTGTCAACTGTTTTTTCACCCGTCAAACGTGACTCATGTGTACAGTTAAAATATTTTTTGACTGATAAATATAAGTTGGCGGTTATATGAATACGCTGTAAAACAAAAAAAAATATTTATTCACGAAAAAAATTTATTAGTTTTTTTACTAAAGCAAACGGCAACATATACAAATAAAATGCACGGCACTCTAAACTTATGCTAGTGCATTTACAGAAACGCTCAAAAATTCTTTCCGTAATTTTTATTTTTTCTGGATTTTAGACCGAATTCAAAGTGCGTGGCAAAGATGTCGTATCGTACTCAGTTTAAAACTGAATGTATCCGATATGGCGTGATTTAAAAGTCTTAACCAAAACTAATACAATTAACGTAGAGAATTTTTGAGAGGCTAATTATGTGTGGAATGTTAAATACATGGTCTTGGCATGCATGCGCGACTTTTCAGTTCCGCTGTAATTAGAAGAATATCCAGGAATTCACAGACGAGCAGAGGCTGCAGCCCTTACACTTTTAAAGTTAGAAATTTAACCAGCACTAATAACTGGTAGTAAACCGCCGATATTTCGCTTTCCCAAGAATTCGTCAAAGAAGATTTAGATTCTTAGTACTATATAAGCATGCTAGTACCAGTTTACTATCGGGATAAATCGGCTGGTTATCCTGGCTTATTATCCACACACCGTCGCTGGATAAGAAGCATGAGTCAAAACTCCCACTCTGTGCTCGCTCGCTCTGTAAGAAGTGGGAGAACTCAGGAATTAGTTCAATTGGTAGAAAATGTCGATAACAACCACCTACTGACAAAACTGCCGATGACTCCTTTTGAGAGTTGCTTACAAGCAAGCTAACAGCGGGTTTAACTTCTAGGCACACATCGGCATCAATTTATTATTGAAACAAATTAACGAATCGTAGAGGGAATAGCTGCCCCACCGGTGGAGTCAAACCCGCGACATACTTCTGCGCGACATAGGAGAGAAAAAAAGTGGTGCTGTCAGAAACAGAACAAAGTGGCAATAATTGCTTTGGTTGAAATGCAGCATAACAATTAAATAAGCTTGGATTATAAGGTCGACCAACTTAGAGACATAAAAATTTCTTAAAAAAGACAATGTCCTTAACTCAAGTAAAAAGCACTGAGAAAAAATGGGGGGTTTTGAAGAAAAGAAAAGAGTGTGCTGGCTGCAGACAGAGCAAGGAGGAATGGAGAGAGGGACGGAGTTGAGTGAAAAGACGAGTTAAAGGTTGAGTGCTACACCGAAGTGCGGATCATCTTAGACGCTATCATGTTCACTACAAGGTGGTACAAGCAAACTTGGTATTTTAACGTGACCATAGGAACGTTCTTCAATTTCATTGAAAACGGATATGAAGTCGATGTCAAATGTGCGGTATGTCCTTGGTAAGCGTATCATCACGTCTTCTCGGCTATAGTTCCGCAGCGGCCGATCACTGCAATTGTTTCGATTTCTAATATCTTGATCACGTAAAGAAAAATTGACCCCTGTGACCGAAAAAGAAGGGAACACGGCAACAGATAAAATGAGCACCAACACCTCTCAAATAGTGTTTGTTCAGTGCTAACAAGAAATTGAGCTCCTAGAACAATAGTAGTTTTATTCAATATAGAATTTAGTTGTCCAGGAAATGAACATAGTTTAAACTTTTAGATTATTATGATCCATAAAAGCTTTGCAAACTTACGGTGCCTGTCCAATGAGTGTGGCGCGCACCTGCTTTTCGATTCTATCGGGATAATGCCCAATGCCAACATAGAAATACGTTTCTAAAGCAATTTCGGGAGTTTTATCGTTAGAGAACAGTAAAACAGCACAAATTCTGCAGCTATGCTGATAATCTCAGCAAGTCAAAACGGTGGACTGCCCTACAATGAAAACGGTACACACCGAGGCAGGACTCAGTTGTTGACAAACGGAAGACAAAACACTGGATTTGACGAAGAAAATGATGAAGGCAAGAACACCTGGAGTTGTCTCTTCAGGGATACGCCTAATTTAAATTTCTCCATGTTATTTCATCGCAAAAACTCGATTTGCTGTCTAACAAATTTGTAAAAAGAGGCATGCAAGCGTGAGCTTTACATCGGTCTTAAAGTTGCACAAAAGTGAAAGCAAATGAATGAACAGTATTAAAACCTGGTGGATCGTTTCCTTGATTGAACACGAAACCAGGAATAAGGATTGTATTGCAGTTCAGTATTTGCACCCGATATGATGTAACGTTATGAGACTGACTAAGCAATGGGCCGATTTTTTCTTCCCGTGGCGGGTCAACGTCCTTCAGTGATAATAGCTGCACTACCCTCTGGAATTCCATTTTGCCATTTTTAAATCACTTTTTGTTAATAGGAGTTACGAAAAATGCCGCTCTTAAGATTCAAAAAATTGCTTGAAAATAAGCAATCGGACCTCGAATTTTCCCCAAAAGCGGTCAAGACACGCAGTTTCTTCCTCGAATCTTAGAACGGTTTTCGATCAAACCAAAATGGGTCAAATGGTCGTTTTGCAAAATGTGAGCAAACTGATGAAAAGCAGACCTGGGCACAGTGATTATACAAACCAATCCATTTGTAGTCTGTGATTTTGGCATCGTTTGTTACCGTAAAAGCTACACTCTTATCCTCAACTAGTGGTAATGCGAAGCGACGATCGAAGTGAACTCTGACTGTCGTTGTTGTTGTCTGGACTGCGCGCTCATCCGTGCCATTTGTTCGACGAGCCTGAAAATTCATAACAGGACTGTTTTATTTCTAATTTACAATATGCCATAAACAACAGCTTAAAACTGATAAGCAGTGTATCATAATAAAATAATTTTATAGGTAAAGAGTTTTGCAAGAAAATAACGCCTGCCTTCGCGAAAAACGGTAAGCTGCAGCGCCTGCAAAAAGTTTTCCGAAATGCTCTTGGCTAGAAAAAATTTTATCCAAACTGACGTTAACAAGTAGTTGCAATGTAGGCAAAAAATAAGCGAGCCTTTTTCCGGCGTTCCATGAATCGTCTCTTTTTGAGACGGGGATCTTCGATTACCCAAAAAAGTGGTGTTGAACTATGTGGTGAAGCAGCTGTGGTTGTATCACCTTGAGTTGACACAGGTGCAACATATCCGTCCGTCTCGAAGAATTTTTCGGATAGTATGTAATCATCTTGTGCCGAATCAACTTCTGCAAGTCGGTATATACTTTAGATTGCAACGAAACAAATTTTGTTGGAAAATAGATAGTGAACTCTGCAAATAGTGATTTACGAAATGTACTTATTGAGGCGGGAATCACTGCAACATTTTCGCTCACGCATAGAAAGCCAAAGGAAAAAGAAATAACTACGAGTATCAAAAAATGGTGCAAGCTTCCTGAAGTAATAAGCATAATTCGTAAACCAGGCTAGCCCATGTTACCAGTGTATTGTACTGTGTTTATCAAGGATAAAAGCTTGTAGAAAAAAAAAACTGACAAACAAAGGAAAAAAAATTTAACCTCAGACTTGGGAGTTATTCCGTACATCAAAAACAAGTCTTAAAATTTGGGTTTAGCTACTGTAAGACCATTGAAATTGTTTGAATCAGCTGTCGCTCAGATGAAGAAAAAGGGCAAACTTTTTGTGTTAAATGTAATAGAATGACATCAGCTACTGATGATGAGCAAACCGATCAAATCTGATGTAGCGAATGCATTTGTGTATGAACTGCTTAAAATTAATAACTAAACCGCCGGTCAGTTTCTGAAATACATCGCTGAAAGACGGTTTCTCCCTTGCCGCACATTTCCTGTCACCTTCTCAAGGAATATAAACGGCCATTATTGAATTTCTTTCCGCCGTTCTGTCGCGTCCACATCAATGACTATCAGCAGTGTGCCATAATTTGTCAAACCTTTGACTTTATCCATAAGTGCATGACGATGAGATTTTTTAGCCCATTTTAGGGGTGTACTCTGGCCAAGCATGAAAGTATAACCACGATCCTTGACATCCGGTTTTTTGGCTTTTTCGGTTTTTGACGGTGGATCATATGTCGTAGATTCCTGGAATAAATTCTATAATGCATGCATGATATGGAACCATTTTAAAGTTATTTTCATACGCAAAACTAGGAAGCTGAGGCGTTGTGAATGAAATTCTTTAGTGCTTCAGGAGCAAAGCCTTTGATCTTGCACAACAAAAAAAATTCAAAAAAAAAGCATCTTAAAGAGGGTTTTGGTCCTGAGCCCTCTTCTTTCAGAACAATGTCTAACCGAACTAATCCTCTGCAGCACACCTGTTTTTACTATTTCACTCTCCAAGCTGGGTCCGACAGAATCAAGCCTCAAAATTGTGCATTAAAAAAATATCTTTTGCTACTGGCCTACTCCATTACTGGAACTCATATTTGAGAAAAACATGACTTTTGTGCTCTATGAGCAAGCAGTAAAAAGCAGCAGTATGGTAAATTAACATTCAATGCGTAAGAGTTTGTATCTGCACAACTTGAATTTATCAATAGCGCGCTTACTGTTTCCGGTGGATGGCGTTCTTCTTCCGATGTGTCAGCAGTATCGCGCTCCTCGCCAGCCTCACCGTTCCTCGCACGCTTTCTTTCAATTTGCTCGGTAAACCGTTCTTTGCTACTTGAAAACTGATCTTCTTCATTACTGCTTTCGGAATGCAACATTCTTCTTAAAATAGCTCCTAATATTTAATGAACTGTGAGCTACGAATCGCGTTTGCTGCCTCACTATGTTCGGAGAAAAAACGAGAACTGGGGGAAAAAAAGCAAAAGCTTCAGTTGACCTTAGCCCACCTTCAGTGAGACTTTAAAATTTTTCCAAAAGAGGGGGTCGTGAGGAAATCAAAAAAAAAAGTGTGGAAGAAAGGCACTTCAAGATTTCAATCCCGCCTATTGTTGTTGTTTCTACTTCTGCTTCTGTATAACTGCTAGTTTGCAGCTCGTCGTCCGGATCGGTTTCAGTTTCCGCTTTCGTCGTGTCATTATCGAGGATGATTTCCACTGCAACATGAGCAGTGTCATTATACCAGTGGCGGAGACACAGTTTCAGTCATTGGACGAATCGGTCAAAAAACCGTTAGGGCGAGGAGAAAAGAACTGTTTTGTTGCACTCATCCATTTTACTTACAATCTGTCGGTGAAGTTGGGTCATTGATCTGATTTCATGAAAATCGCCAAATCTACCTTCTGTTGTTGTCGGTACATCGCCAGCTGTAGTGTTTTCATCGCTCTCAGAAATGAACAGTTCTGTTTCAGTCACTGTAGTAGCAGTTGAACTATCCCAAGATAATACATCCGTTTCAAAGGAATCATTTCTAAAATGAAAAATAGCAGCATATACTTCGAGGTCGTTGTTGTCTTACCCTTTTTGCGATCTGATGAGGCCAAAAATCTCATAGTGCCCTCAGTGCTTCGCTGCGCCGTGATAAACTTTTGTCTCTCTGCTACGCAGTTACGCCTATCTGACAACAAAGTGTCGCCGTAATTAATTAGTGCGCAACATCAGTCCTTAACAACTGGACATCGGAAATACTAAGCTTGGATCATGCTTGTTTTCAGTTCAGCATCCGTGCGATCATGAATGACTAATCGTTCCACTGAACACGAACACACATCTATTTATTTATTCTTTCGAACAACTGCAAGAATTGCTGATTTCTTCCGGAATTTCGTAAAGTTAGCTATGAGATTAGTCCTAAGGCAACAGCTTAAAATGCAAGGAAACCGAAAGTCCTGTTTTGAATTACTCCAAGGAACAGTCTTTTCAGAATTTCAGCTTTAGCTTGCGGTAGCCTTGTGGTAAAAAAAATTGAGCATTTGCGGCTATACTTTAACAAGATTTTTAAAATGAAACCCAGGCTGGAACGCAACAGGCTCTCCGGTGCGACCATGCGTTTTTGCACTAAACTCGCAGATCGCTATTAGCAGGAGTGATCCCTACGCCGTAGCCTAATACTTGGGCTAATATTGGCCGTGTTTTGATCCCTACCCGCATGCAGGAGGAAGGGCATCAGTTGGGATGAAGGTGGTGCATTACAGTTGGGATGAAGGTGGTGC